GTTCTACTCTGTATATGTATTTCAACATCATCCTTTCATGATTGTTTTTACTTTAATGAGCTTCTAATTTATTTTTGTGTATGATAGGAAGTAGGCATTTAACTTCATAGTTTCCCAAATAATGAGTCAGTTCCAACCCAGTGTAGATTTAAAATGCCAAATCATTGACTATGTTTTAAAATATACTACAGCCTGTTTGGGGCTTTTTCTTTGCTTCCCCCGATTTATCTATTTTTACTCCTGCATCAGTATTGAGCTTTGTGTACCTTTCCCCGTTCTTCCTCATTACTCGCCCTTTTTAGCTTTGGCCGGACTGTTCCCATTTGTTTTGTTTTTCAGATAAAATTTAGAATTGCTTTCTTAAGTTTTCACCCCTCAATCCTCCCGATACCTTAATTGAAAGTGTGCTAAGGTAAAACTGGATATGGCAAAGTTGATGTCTTTTCACTGTTGTAGTGTCCTGTCCAGGAGCACAGCACATCTTCCACTGTGTCCTTTAATGCCCCTTCCTTGTTGAAAATCTGGTGCATTTCTTCTTAAACTTATTGTCAGGTATGTTGAGGTTTTTATTGCTATTGTGAGTGTGGTCATTTTATTATAGTTTCTGTTTATTACTAGTAGGAAAGCTATTGACTCTCCTGTATTTACTGTGGAATTTTTTATGGGTAATTTTTTCTTTATAGTTTTCATTGGTTAGAAAAAATTTAAATACCAGCTATCAAAATAACAAAAACTAAATTTCCGTAAGGCCACTAGACTTACTTGTGGGCTTTCCCCCACATATTTATCTGCAATTTTATGACTTAAAATCGAGTCACACTATATAAATGACTTGCAACCTAGCATAATTTTTGGATCTCTCTCTCTCTCTCACTTTTTTTTTTTTTTTTTTTTTTTTGAGACAGGGTCTCACTCATCACAATCTCAGCTCACTGTAGCCTCAGCCTTCTGGGCTCCAGTGATCCTCCTGCTTCAGCCCCCCACATAGCTGGGACTACAGGTGTACATCACCACACCTGGCTAATTTTGTTGTATTTTCAGTAGAGACAAAGTTTCATCCTGTTGCCCAGGTTGGTCTTGAACTGGATCACTTTTTTAAATAAACTTTTTATTTTAGAACAGTTTTAAATTGACATAAAAATGGCAAGGATGGTACGAAGAGTTCTATACATCCCACCCCTGCTTCCCTGGTATGAATGTTCTCCATTAATATGGTACCTTTGTCACAATGAATGAACCCAATACTGGTGTGTTATCATAAACTAAAGTCCGCACATGACTTGAATTTCCTCAGTCTTTCCCTGCTGTCCCCTTTCTGCTCCAGCACCCCCTCCATGACACCACACTGAATTTAGTCACAGTCTCCGTAGGCTCCTTTTGATGGTGACACTTTCTTGGACTTGCCCTGTTTTCAATGACCCTGACAGTTTTGAGGAGGACTGGTCAGGTATTTTGTAGAATGTCCCTCAGTTGGTGTTAGTCCGATGTTTTTCTCATGACTAGACTGGGATTTGGGGTTTGAGGGAAGAAGAACACAGAGGTGCAGGGCCGTTCCCATCACACTGAATCAGGGACGCGCACTGTCAACAGGACTTACCCCTGCTGATGCTGACCTGGGTCATCTGGCTGATGGCTTGTCTGTCAGGTTTCTCTACTATAAAGATAGTCTCTTCTACTCTGATTCCACATGGTACCCTTTGAGAGCAAGTCACTAAGCACAGCCTGTAATTAAGGAGTTGGGGGTTATGCTTTGTCTTCGTAAGGACAGGGTATCTATATACATTATTTGGATTTCTTCTGTATGGGAGATCTGTGTTCTCCCCCATTTATTTATTTAATCCTTTGAATCCAAATTCGTATGGATTCATGAATATTTATTTTTTACTTTGGGCTATAATCCAATTTTTTTTTTGTTTTCTTGCTTAAATTGTTCCAGCTTTGGCCATTGGGACCTCTTTCAGTTGGCTCCTGTGTCCCTTTGACTTAACCTCTTTAGTGTGTGTGTGTGTGTGCGCGCGCGCACACGCACGTGCACACACATTTATCACTTCCTTACTTACCGGCACTAGAAGATATTCCAGGCTCATCTTGTATGTTTCCTGCTCCAGTCCTGGAATCAGCCATTTCTCCAAGGGAGCCCCATTTTTCATTGGAGAATGGTGTTAAAGGCCAAGCTCTGGTGCTAGGTGCTCTTTGCTACTGAGTAGGTTGCTTCTAGGCCCTCTCAGCTGACAGAACAAGAAGTTATACATGCATGCCAACCTTGTATATACACACATCTTTAAATATTTCTCTGTGTAACCATGTGCATCAACATGGAGCTTATGAGTTCATATTGGTGTCTCTGGTGCTAAGCCATTACCCATGGATCATTCTAGCTCCTTCCCTTGCTTATGTACCTGGCATCAATCTAAACTTACCAAGACCTCTATGATACATTTTCATTTGGTTAAATTTAAATATGTTTTATAAAATAGTCTACAAAAATGTCATGTAGTTGTTTATTCATTTAAACAGGGTCTTACTCTGTCACCCAGGCTGAAGTGCAATGGCACACTCATGGTTCACTGCAGCCTCAACCTCCCAGGCTCAAGCAGTCCTCCCACCTCAGCTTCCCAAGTAGCTGGGACCACAGGGGCATACCATCATGCCCAGCTAATTTTTTAATTTTCATTTTTGTAGAGACGGGATCTTGCTATGTTGCCCAGGCTGGTTTCGAACTCCTGGCCTCAAATGATCCTTCCACCTCAGCCCCCTAAAGTGCTGAGATTACAGTCATGAGCCACTGCACTCAGCCCATTTTGGCTTTTTGCTTCTTATCTAAATATAGCTATTAACAATGCCAAGTTTAAGGGTAGCTAAATGAGGTGGCAAAATAGCTTAACACAGCAGAAAAAGGGGGAAAACTGGAAATGCATTGGTACTTAGAAATTAGGTGGCAAAAAATCAGTGAAGTCTGGGATGTCAGCAAGAATGGTGGGGTACACAGCCCCATGGGCCCATCCCCCAAAGAAACATTGAAAAATCTAACAAAACTGTCTCAACCAACTTCATCAAAACTTTGAAAAATAGGCGAAGGTTTACAGCAACCAAGCAAATGCTGAATCAAGAAAAAGGCAAGCGGAGTATGGTGACTCATGCTTGTAATCCCAGCACTTTGAGAGGCTGAAGCAGAAGGATCCCTTGAGACCAGGAGTTCAAGACCAGTCTGGGGAACAAGCAAGACCCTACCTCTAAAAACAGAAAAATAAGAAAAAACTTAAAAATGGTAGGAGAGCTGGGTGCAGTGGCTCACGCCTGTAATCCCAGCACTTTGGGAGGCCAAGGCGGGCTGATCATAAGGTCAGGAGTTTGAGACCAGCCTGGCCAACATGATAAAACCCCATCTCTACTAAAAAGACAAAAATTAACTGGGCATGGTGGCAGGTCCCTGTAATCCCAGCTACTCAGGATGCTGAGGCAGGAGAATCACTTGAACCCAAGAGACGGAGGTTGCAGTGAGTCGAGATCATGCCACTGCCCTCCAGCCTGGGTGACAGAGTGACTCTGTCTCAAAAAAAAAAAAAAAAAAAAATGGTAGGAGAGCCTTGTGATTACTTTATTTACCCTCCTCCCACCCCCCAATCTTGAAGGCAGCAGCACATTCCTAGCATGGGACCTGGTCCCTGCTTCTGGAGGCAGACCACACCTTACTCAAAAAGAAGTGGGTATTCTTACCAGTCTGGTGGCTGCCTGAAGGGCTGACACAGGCACTTGTCATTGTTTCACCTAACTCAGAACCCACTTGCTGCAGAAGAGTGGCAGACATTGCTTGGAAACATTGTAAGGCAAATAACTTGCAGCTTCCTGGAGCTAAAAAGTATAGTTGAGGCAAACAGTGAAGCACTGAAAGCTCTGGAAGAAAAACTGAGGAGAGAGATGCTTTTGGAAATTAGAGCATTCAAAAGTACCTGTGGATACCAGGAAATGTAGAAAGCCCCATACATGCGCAGGGAGCTTGCATGCTCAGAAAAGAGCTAAGAAGACCTGAGTTTCACCTGGGGCTGGTCTCTATGCTCAGTGCAAGTAGGAAGTGAAGGCTAAGGTAAAGCTGTGAACAACCTGGCTAAGCAATGAAGGAGGCACCAGCACAAAGTCATTCACAAAACAGATTGGGAGAAGTTTCTGCTACTTTTTCTGTCTCTCTCTGTCTCTGTTTCTCTCTCTCTCTCTCTCTCTCTCTCTCTCTCTCTCTCTCTCTCTCTGTCTCTCTCTCTCGGCTTCTGAATCTGAGATGCCCACTCCATCAGGGAGGCCTGGTGTAGATGATAAGGATGTTTACAAAAGCAGCAGGCAGGAGGCGGCACCCAGGGCACCTGGCAGGCTGCCTATCCTTTGGGGATGCTCTCAGAGGAGGAGGGACTCTTGGTGGTGCTGGGAGTGCCCTGGAGCTCCTGTGCTACTCAGATGTCTCAGCTTTAATCTCTGGAGATTGCTGTGGTTCAGATGCCGGTCAAATGCTGAGTTGATCCTTATTCTATCTGAATACTGTAGCCCCAGGGTGGGGCTCACCCCCATGGCCTCTGTCTGTGGGAGGCCAGGACAGAGTTGCTCATCCAGTCAAGCAGTGGGACTAGATAGGCCTAGAAACCAGCTCCCCCACTGCAGCAGACACAGACATGGCCCAGGCCCAGGCACCCCAACATGGGGAACGGGCTTTCCTGAAGTTGGGTGGGCATGCCTTTGGTGAAAGCAGTTTTGGGTTTTGATTTGTGGACACCTGGGAATGTGGGGTAGTGTTTGGCTGGCAGCAGCTGCTGCAGTGTTGCCAAAGGCATCTGCCTGGGGCCCTTGCCAAGCTGACACCACAGGTATGGAATGTCTCCCGTGCCGGTGTGCCAGCCACCGTGAAACTGTGAAGAATTTCCAGAGGAAGCGCAGTGGTGGGGCATGTGGTTAGACTGTCTGCCCTGCACTGACAATGCCTCCTGTGCCTGAACACACATGTTCTCTCCATGCAGGAAGGACGTGCCCATGGAACACGTGACACACGCAGACAGAGAGCAAACCAAGAGGGTGGTATACGCGGTGGTCTATGGAGCAGGTAGGCTGCAGGCTGGGAGCTGGGGTTTCGGGGTCACCTGTAAGTTGGCAACTGTGTGCCTGTGTTTAAATGTAGCTGTGCCTCAGAAATCATCTGTGAGTCCCTGGGTGTTGTTTATGCTCTGATGACACCTGCAGCCACCAGACACTGGCCAGACCACCCCACGTGTTGACCTGCCCAGAGTCACATCCAGTCTCTCGGGGGAGGCCACAGAGGTGGGCAGGTCAAGTGTGACCAAGCCATTGGCTCCACCCCTACACCATACTACTGTGCTAGGCACCACTGCTGTGCTTGGAGAGCTTCGAGGAGACCCTTGTCCACACACATGCCAAGACGTTATAAAGTTAGCCTCAAGGTATGCAGTGCTTGGACTCATTGCCACATCTCAGCATGCACCCCATCTCCCTAGGGCAGAGCTCACCCAGCAGGGCCACACAGCCAAAGCACCCCACAGAAGGCAGAACCAGGCCTTGGGCTGGGAACAGGACAGTGGGGATCCAATCTCAGGGGTAGCAGATAGGAGAAAGCAGAGCTAGGCCAGGAAGGACTGGAGGCCAGAGGTTTGGGCTGCCTGGGGCCTCTTCTGCAAGCCTCTTCTTCCCCTTCCCTTTTCGCTTCTCTTCCTGCTTCTGCTCCTCTCCCTCCTTCCCCCTACCCCCCAGCCCCAGCGCCCATGTCAAAGCAGGCCTTCTACTGTCTTCCATCCGCCCTTCTTCTACTCTCCCTTGGACTCCCTGACATGGGTTGTCTGGGGTTTTTTAATTCTTTTCTGGCCCTGGGTCATGCTGAATCAGTGTGGCCTAATTTCCCCAGCCCGCCAGCTCCTTCTTAAGCCTGTTCAGACCTCCTTTTCCCTGTGATCAGTTCTTTGAGCAGCAGGGCTTGTGCAAAGACCCTGAAAAGAAGATTCACCATCCTGCCATGGAAACCCTTTGTTTATGCACAGAAAAGCAGCAAAACCAAACAAGCTTCAGTGGAAGAATAATGGGGCAAGCACATAGTAGATTGTCCCTAAGAGCTGCCCTACAGTCTCCATTGAGACTGTGGTGCTGTTGAACAAGGGTCCTAAGTGCCCCACCTGGCTGACCACAGCCAGTCAGCCAGGCTGGCTCCAACCTCAGAGCTTTGCACTGCTCTTCCCTCTACCGGAACGCCTGCCCCTGCACCACCAGGGCCCATCCCTCACTTCTGCAGACCTGCGCTCAACTCTCCCCTGTGCAGCCTTCCTCAACCACAGTATTTGTTACCCATTTCTGGGTAACAAATTGCCAAAAACATAGCAATTTAAGATAATACACACTATCCCACAGTTTCTCTGGGTGTGGGCATGCCATAACTGGGTCCCCTGCAGGGCTGCAGTCAAGGTGTTGGCTGGGGCTGTGGTCGCATGTGTGACTGGGGAGGGATCCACTTTGTTGGCTTCTGGTTTTTTTGGGTTTTGTTTTTTTGGTTTTTTTTGGAGACAGTCTTGCTCTCTTCCCCAGGCTGGAATGCAGTGGCACAATCTCAGCTCACTGCAACCTCCAACTCCTGGGCTCAAGCCTCCTGCCTCAGCCTCCTGAGTAGCTGGGATCACAGGCACCTGCCACCATGCTCGGCTAATTTTTCATATTTTTAGTAGAGATGGGCTTTCACCATGTTGGCCAGGCTGGTCTTGAACTCCTGACCTCAAGTGATCTGCTCGCCTTGGCCTCCCAAAGTGCTGGGATTACAGGCGTGAGCCACCACACCTGGCTGGCCTGTTTCTTGCTGGCTGTCAGCCAGAGGTGGTCTCAGCTCCTTGCCACATGGGCCTCACGCCTTGGGCAGAGCCTACATCTTGGCAGCTCTGCTCTTCAAACCAGCGAGGGAGCAAAATACACCAGCTCTGCACCCACTTGCCTGTTTATGGTCTCATGCACCAGCTCGAACATGGGCACCTCAAAGAAAAGTGCTCATCAGTTTAGCTCACTGCCTGGCACAGAGAAGACACAGGGACAAATTAGTGGACTTGGTGGTCTCAGCTCCACTTTTGAAAACATTCTGATTGTGTACATGGTTTTTGGAAAATAGACTAAGAAACCTTGTTTTAAAGAACTAGATTCTGTGAGTGACAGTAGTGTGACATTGGATTGATTCTCCTCAGAGTTGCTTGGTCCACTTCCTTCTTTCAGCCTCTTCTGTGCTGTACCCCTGAACCTCCCTGGGGCCTCTGTCTTGTGGGAGGCATCACTCTGCCAAATTATATGAGAGTTTGTTGCCTTGCATCCTGCTCCAGCATCTTGTGTTGCAAACATAACATTTGCTTCTGCTCTGCGGGCAAGACATCACCTCCCTAATCCTGGGCCAGGCAGCCTGGACTTGATCCCCAACCCTGTCACCTCCTGACTGTGTGGCCTTGTACAAGGCCCTCCGCCTCCCTGTGCCATCTCCTCCTGGGAAAATGCTTTCATAGGGTGGACGGGCCATACCTGGCACAGTCAGCTCTCATCTGTGTCATCTGCCATTATGTCTGACTCCTACTTCACTTCTGTGCCATGTCAATAAATGCCTTCAAGTGACTGAGCAGCTTCTGTAGGTCTCCTGTGGCAGCCCTGGCCTTGTCCCCAGCTGGGGCAGCCACCCCAAATCCAGCTAGGAGGGAGGAACACAGAACGAGAGTGCCGAGCACCTGCCGTGGGGCAGCAGCTGTGCTCTGGCAGGATGGCTGCCCTGACCTCCTCAGAAAAAGGTGGTCTTCTCTGCCACCCATTTGGCTCCTTCTGGAGTATTCACTTTCTTTTTCTTTTTCTTTTTTTCCTGGAGAGGAAAAGAGCTGCATTTTGTAAATAAGCACTGAGTCATTAGCCATAATGTCAAAAAGGGTAATTTGGCTGCTTTTAGCTGTGACAGTGACACGGGTTCCCACCCTGAGCCTCTGGCTCTGCTGCTCCCATTGTTCTGGTCTGGCTTGACAGCTGGAATTACTGTGTATCCACTGCTGTGGGCTTAGGCTGCATCTCTGTTCTCCTCGTGTTTGAAACTTTGTCACATGAGCTGGGACTGAGGAAGCCCGTGAACTTGCCAGGCCTCCCGGGCCGCTGGGTACCCTTTGGAAATTCCATAGAGGAGCTTTGCACCTACCGGCTTGCAGTGGATTGCAGTGACGTGTTTTCACGTAACGTACCTCTGAACGGCCCACAAATGCTGGGGGCGTGGGGCAAGGCATGGTTCGTACACATTCTTGAGAAATCGGCGACATGACTATTGTGAAAACTGTAAAGAAGATAGCAGAGGAAGCGGCAGGACTGTGTGAGAGGCAGGGGAGATGCCCCAGAGGGTGCAGGGTCTGTATGCTCAGCCCCCGCAGCCACTGTGGAGGAGCTGGCAGGGAACACACAGAGTAACAGAGCAGCCACTGTCCGGGAGCCTTGACCCCAGAGGCTGGCTCACAGTCTCACTGCTCCTCTATCAGTCAACTGAATTCAAATGTCTATCCCCAGCCTGACGGCCCTGCTCATGGCCGCTGCTGAGCCCAGCAGGAACCTGCCTTCTCCTGGAAGCAGCTCCTGACTCCTCGGATCTTGCTCTGAGCCCCTGTTGCTCCTAGAGTCTAACCCTTGAGTCTTCTCAGATGACTCCATGACTCTGAAGCTTGCCTCCACATCCAGTCATCATGTGACCCACAGGTCTGTGCTGAGGGCATGCCCTCTGGCTCAGTGCCTGCTCCCGAGGGGCTCGTACCTGTCAGAGGAGACACAGGAGCAGGCCTGGGCACATAGCACTGTGCCATCAGTACATCTGCAGGAGTCCCTGGTACCAAGGGAGGCAGGGGAGGGACCCAGCCCAAGGAGAGTTGGGAGAGTCCAGGAGCTGGCCCAGAGCAGCAACACCCGAGCTGAGTTTTGAAAGTAGCATAGGATTTACTGTCAAGTCTGCTCCAGCTAGACCAGCCCACATTCCCAAAGGCCCACTATGTACAGGCACTTGCTCATCCCTAGAGACATAAACAGGAGTGAAAGCCTGTTAGCAATATGTGTGGAGCAGAAGAGCACTTGGAGGAAAGGAAGTGAAGATTGTCCCTGCTAAACGTCAAATTGTAGTACACACACACACATAGACTCACATGTGTACCCACCAGATAGGATTAGCTGTCTGTGGGAAGAGTCAAATTGTGTGTTCATGTAGGATTTCAGAGGTAGGGAGGACTTAGTGTCCCTAGTATGCAGATCTCTCAGGGCCTGTGTGTGAAACAGGATCAACGGAATCACAGTGTGGGGACAAGTTCTATGAAAAGAAGGAGCAGTCCACAGGAAGTGTGGGACAGAGAAGTCCCCACAGAGCCAAAAGTCATCCTGCTTGGGGAAGGGACAGTGACCTTTGAGTGTGACAGCCCCACTGCTAAGGGTGTCCAAAGAGTGAGAAGCAAGGATCCAGGGCCTGGAAGTCCTCCCGGACCCTCAGGCTCCATCTCAGTCTCTCATCCCTGCTGCTTGTGGAGCCACCACACTGTCCGCTCTCTTGTGGATGGACTTTCTTCACGCATGGGGACTGAGGTCACCCGCTGCCCTTCAGAGATCCTGACAGCTCCATAGAAGAAAGAAAAGGGATTCTCCCTTGGCCATAAATATTTAGAAAGCAAGGCATGACTTCTGGTGATGCCCAAGTCGCTCCCATTGGAGCAGCCCTCCTGCAGGGATCAACTTTAAACTGTGGAAAATGTATAAAAAGACAACTACCCAGAGGCACTGGGAAGTGACCAGAGCAACAGAAATTGGAGGTCAGCTGACACTTGGAAGAAAGGAATGGCACTGGTGAATTTCTCATTCTATAGCCCCTTACCTGAAGGCAAACCTCAGTTGATGCTGTGGGGACAGAAACTCTGCTAGGAACATACAATCCTACTAGCTTGAAGAACTGGAGGACAGAGTTCTGGACAACCAGAGGATCTGGAAAGTGAAGGGAGAAATTCTAGAAAGAAGAAAGCCAGGAAATGAGGCCAAATTCCAGGTATGAACTCTACTCAGATTCTTGACTGACTC